ACGTGGACGTGGACGTGGACGTGGAGGTGGACATGGACGTGGAGGTGGACATGGACGTGGACATGGACGTGGCGTTGGACGTGGACGTGGACGTGGACATGGACGTGGACGTGGACGTGGTCGTGGACGTGGACATGGTCGTGGACGTGGACGTGGACGTGGTCGTGGACGTGGACATGGACGTGGACGTGGACGTGGACGTGGTCGTGGACGTGGACGTGGACGTGGACGTGGTCGTGGATGTGGACGTGGTTGTGGACCTGGTCGTGGACGTGGACATGGACGTGGACGTGGACGTGGACGTGGACATGGACGTGGAGGACTTGGACGTGGACATGGACGTGGACGTGGACGTGGACGTGGACATGGTCGTGGACGTGGACGTGGACGTGGACGTGGTCGTGGACGTGGACATGGACGTGGACGGTGGACGTGGACGTGGTCGTGGACGTGGACGTGGACGTGGACGTGGACGTGGACGTGGACCTGGACGTGGACGTGGACGTGGACGTGGACGTGGACATGGTCGTGGACGTGGACGTGGACGTGGACGTGGTCGTGGACGGGACATGGACGTGGACGTGGACGTGGACGTGGTCGTGGACGTGGACGTGGGACGTGGACATGGACGTGGACGTGGACGGGGACATGGACGTGGGACGTGGACGTGGACATGGACGTGGACGTGGATGTGGACGTGGACATGGACGTGGACATAGACGTGGACATAGACGTGGACATGGACGTGGACGTGGATGTGGAGGACTTGGACGTGGACATGGACGTGGACGTGGACATGGACGTGGACGTGGACGTGGACGTGGACGTGGTCGTGGTCATGGACGTGGACGTGGACGTGGTCGTGGACATGGACGTGGACGTGGACGTGGACGTGGACATGGATGTGGACGTGGACGTGGACGTGGACGTGGTCGTGGACGTGGACATGGACGTGGACATGGACGTGGACGTGGACGTGGACGTGGACGTGGACATGGACGTGGACGTGGACGTGGACATGGACATGGACATGGACTTGGACGTGGACATAGACGTGGACGTGGACGTGGACATGGACGTGGACGTGGACGTGGACATGGACGTGGACGTGGACGTGGACATGGACGTGGTCGTGGACGTGGACATGGACATGGACATGGTCGTGGACATGGACGTGGACATGGACATGGACATGGACATGGACGTGGACGTGGACATGGATGTGGACGTGGACGTGGACGTGGACGTGAACTTGGACGTGGACGTGGACGTGAACTTGGACGTGGACGTGGACAGACATGGACTTGGACGTGGACGTGGACGTGGACGTGGACGTGGACGTGGACGTGGACTTGGACTGGACTGACTGGACGTGGACGTGGACGTGGACGTGACATGGACGTGGACGTGGACGTGGACGTGGACATGGATGTGGACATGGACGTGGACATGGACCCCCATGGACGTGGACATGGACGTGGACGTGGACATGGACGTGGACGTGGACGTGGACGTGGACATGGATGTGGACATGGACGTGGACATGGACGTGGACATGGACGTGGACGTGGACATGGACGTGGACGTGGACTTGGACGTGGACATGGACGTGGACGTGGACGTGGACGTGGTCGTGGACATGGACGTGGACGTGGACGTGGACATGGATGTGGACGTGGACGTGGACGTGGACGTGGACGTGGACGTGGACATGGACGTGGACATGGACGTGGACGTGGACGTGGACGTGGACGTGGACATGGACGTGGACGTGGACGTGGACATGGACATGGACATGGACGTGGACGTGGACATGGACGTGGATGTGGACGTGGACATGGACGTGGACGTGGACATGGACGTGGACGTGGACGTGGACATGGACGTGGTCGTGGACGTGGACATGGATGTGGACATGGTCGTGGACATGGACGTGGACATGGACATGGACATGGACATGGACGTGGACGTGGACATGGATGTGGACGTGGACGTGGACGTGGACGTGAACTTGGACGTGGACGTGGACGTGGACGTGAACTTGGACGTGGACGTGGACGTAGACATGGACTTGGACGTGGACGTGGACGTGGACGTGGACGTGGGACGTGGACTTGGACGTGGACAGTGGACGTGGACATGGACGTGGACGTGGACGTGGACGTGGACGTGGACGTGGACGTGGACGTGAACGTGGACGTGGACGTGGACGTGGACATGGACGTGGACGTGGACGTGGACGTGGACGTGGACATGGACATGACGTGGACGTGGACGTGGACGTGGACGTGGACATGGACGTGGACGTGGACGTCGACGTGGACGTGGACGTAGACGTGGACGTGGTCGTAGACGTAGACGTGGACGTGGACGTGGTCGTGGACGTGGACGTGGACGTGGATGTGGACGTGGACGTGAACGTGGACGTGGACGTGGAGGTGGACGTGGACGTGGACGTGGACGTGGACGTGGACATGGACGTGGACGTGGACGTGGACGTGGACGTGGAAATGGACGTGGACGTGGACGTGGACGTGGACGTGGACGTGGTCGTAGACGTGGACGTGGACGTGGTTGTGGACGTGGACGTGAACCTGGTTGTGGACGTGGACATGGACGTGGACGTGGAGGACGTGGACGTGGACGTGGACATGGATGTGGACATGGACGTGGACGTGGACGTGGATGTGGACGTGGACGTGGACTTGGACGTGGACGTGGACGTGGACGTGGACGTGGATGTGGACATGGACGTGGACGTGGACTTGGACGTGGACTTGGACGTGGACGTGGACATGGACGTGGACGTGGACGTGGCAGGGACGTGGACGTGGACGAGGACATGGTTGTAGACGTGGACGTGGACGTGGACGTGGACGTGGACGTGGACGTGGACGTGGACGTGGACGTGAACGTGGACGTGGACATGGACGTGGACGTGGACGTGGACGTGGATGTGGACGTGGACATGGATGCCACGTGGACATGGAAGTGGACATGGACATGGACGTGGACATGGACGTGGACGTGGACGTGGACATGGACGTGGACGTGGACGTGGACATGGACGTGGACGTGGACGTGGACGTGGACGTGGACGTGGACGTGGACATGGACGTGGACGTGGACGTGGACGTGGACGTGAACGTGGACGTGGACATTGACGTGGACATGGACGAGGACGTGGACGTGGACGTGGACGTGGACGTGGTCGTAGACATGGACGTGGACGTGGACGTGGACGTGGACGTGGTCGTGGACGTGGACGTGGACGTGGACGTGGACGTGGACATGGACGTGGACGTGGACGTGGACATGGACATGAACGTGGACGTGGACGTGGACATGGACCGTGGACGTGGACATGGACATGGACGTGGACCTGGACGTGGACGTGGACATGGACGTGGACGTGGACGTGGACATGGACGTAGACATGGACGTGGACAAGGACGTGGACGTGGACGTGGACGTGGACGTGGACGTGGTCATGGACATGGACGTGGACATGGACGTGGACGTGGACGTGGACGTGGACATGGACGTGGACGTGGACGTGGACATTGACATGAACGTGGACGTGGACGTGGACATGGACGTGGACGTGGACATGGACGTGGATGTGGGCGTGGACGTGGACATGGACATGGACGTGGATGTGGACGTGGACATGGACGTGGACGTGGACGTGGACGTGGACATGGATGTGGACGTGGACGTGGACGTGGACATGGACGTGGACGTGGCAGGGACATGGACGTGGACGTGGACGTGGACGTGGACCTGGACGTGGACGTGGACGTGGACGTGGACGTGGACTTGGACGTGGACGTGGACGTGGACGTGGACGTGGACATGGACGTGGAGGTGGACGTGGACGTGGACTTGGACGTGGACGTGGACATCGACGTGGACGTGGACGTGGCAGGGACGTGGACGTGGACGAGGACATGGTTGTGGACGTGGACGTGGACGTGGACGTGGACATGGACGTGGACGTGGACGTGGACGTAGACGTGGACATGGACGTGGACATGGACGTGGACGTGGACGTGGACGTAGACGTGGACGTGGACGTGGACGTGGACGTGAACGTGGACGTCGACATGGACGTGGAGATGGACGTGGACGTGGACATGGATGCCACGTGGACATGGACGTGGACATGGACATGGACGTGGACGTGGACGTGGACGTGGACATGGACGTGGACGTGGATGGGACGCGGACGAGGACGTGGACCTGGACGTGGACGTGGACGTGGACGTGGACATGGTCGTGGACATGGACGTGGACGTGGACGTGGACATGGACATGGACTTGGACGTGGACGTGGACGTGGACATGGACTTGGACGTGGACGTGGACGTGGACGTGGACGTGGACGTGGACGTGGACGTGGACATGGACTTGGACGTGGACGTGGACGTGGACGTGGACGTGGACATGGACATGGACGTGGACGTGGACATGGACATGGACGTGGACGTGGACGTGGACATGGACTTGGACGTGGACGTGGACGTGGACGTGGACATGGACTTGGACGTGGACGTGGACGTGGACGTGGACGTGGACATGGACATGGACGTGGACGTGGACGTGGACGTGGACGTGGACATGGACTTGGACGTGGACGTGGACATGGACGTGGACGTGGACGTGGACATCGACATGGACTTGGACGTGGACGTGGACGTGGACATGGACTTGGACGTGGACGTGGACGTGGACGTGGACGTGGACGTGGACGTGGACATGGACTTGGACGTGGACATGGACGTGGACGTGGACGTGGACGTGGACGTGGACGTGGACGTGGACATGGACTTGGACGTGGACGTGGACGTGGACGTGGACGTGGACGTGAACTTGGACGTGGACGTGGACGTAGACATGGACTTGGACGTGGACGTGGACGTGGACGTGGACGTGGACTTGGACGTGGACGTGGACGTGGACGTGGACGTGGACGTGGTCGTGGACATGGACGTGGACGTGGACGTGGACGTGGACATGGATGTGGACATGGACGTGGACATGGACGTGGACATGGACGTGGACGTGGACATGGACGTGGACGTGGACGTGGACATGGATGTGGACATGGACGTGGACATGGACGTGGACATGGACGTGGACGTGGACATGGACGTGGACGTGGACTTGGACGTGGACATGGACGTGGACGTGGACGTGGACGTGGTCGTGGACATGGACGTGGACGTGGACGTGGACGTGGACATGGATGTGGACGTGGACGTGGACGTGGACGTGGACGTGGACGTGGACATGGACGTGGACATGGACGTGGACGTGGACGTGGACGTGGATGTGGACGTGGACGTGGACGTGGACATGGACGTGGACGTGGACGTGGACATGGACATGGACATGGACGTGGACGTGGACATGGACGTGGATGTGGACGTGGACATGGACGTGGACGTGGACGTGGACATGGACGTGGACGTGGACGTGGACATGGACGTGGTCGTGGACGTGGACATGGACATGGACATGGTCGTGGACATGGACGTGGACATGGACATGGACATGGAGATAGACGTGGACGTGGACATGGATGTGGACGTGGACGTGGACGTGGACGTGAACTTGGACGTGGACGTGGACGTGGACGTGAACTTGGACGTGGACGTGGACGTAGACATGGACTTGGACGTGGACATGGACGTGGACGTGGACGTGGACGTGGACGTGGACGTGGACGTGGACTTGGACGTGGACGTGGACGTGGACGTGGACATGGACGTGGACGTGGACGTGGACGTGGACGTGGACATGGACGTGGACGTGGACGTGGACGTGGACGTGGACGTGGACATGGACGTGGACGTGGACGTGGACGTGGACGTGGACGTGGACATGGACATGGACGTGGACGTGGACGTGGACGTGGACGTGGACATGGACGTGGACGTGGACGTGGACGTCGACGTGGACGTGGACGTGGTCGTAGACGTAGACGTGGACGTGGACGTGGTCGTGGACGTGGACGTGGACGTGGATGTGGACGTGGACGTGAACGTGGACGTGGACGTGGAGGTGGACGTGGACGTGTACGTGGACGTGGACATGGACGTGGACGTGGACGTGGACGTGGACGTGGACATGGACGTGGACGTGGACGTGGACGTGGACGTGGTCGTAGACGTGGACGTGGACGTGGTTGTGGACGTGGACGTGAACCTGGTTGTGGACATGGACGTGGACGTGGACGTGGAGGACGTGGACGTGGACGTGGACATGGACGTGGACATGGACGTGGACGTGGACGTGGATGTGGACGTGGACGTGGACTTGGACGTGGACGTGGACGTGGACGTGGACGTGGACGTGGACATGGACGTGGACGTGGACTTGGACGTGGACTTGGACGTCCACGTGGACATGGACGTGGACGTGGACGTGGCAGGGACGTGGACGTGGACGAGGACATGGTTGTAGACGTGGACGTGGACGTGGACGTGGACGTGGACGTGGACGTGGACGTGGACGTGGACATGGACTTGGACGTGGACGTAGACGTGGACGTGGACGTGGACGTGGACATGGACGTGGACGTGGACGTGGACATGGACGTGGACGTGGACGTGGACGTGGACATGGATGTGGACGTGGACGTGGACGTGGACGTAAACGTGGACGTGGACGTAAACGTGGACATGGACGTGGACGAGGACGTGGACGTGGACATGGACATGGACATGGACGTGGACGTGGACGTGGATGTGGACGTGGACATGGACGTGGACGTGGACGTGGTCGTGGACGTGGACGTGGACGTGGACGTGGACGTGGACGTGGACGTGGACGTGGTCGTGGACGTGGACGTGGATGTGGACGTGGACGTGGAGGTGGACGTGGACGTGGACGTGGACGTGGACGTGGACGTGGATGTGGACGTGGACGTGGACGTGGATGTGGACGTGGACGTGGACGTGGTCGTGGACGTGGACGTGGAGGTGGACGTGGACGTGGACGTGGTCGTGGACGTGGACGTGGACGTGGACGTGGACGTGGACGTGGTCGTGGACGTGGACGTGGATGTGGACGTGGACGTGGACGTGGACGTGGTCGTGGACGTGGACGTGGACGTGGACGTGGACGTGAACGTGGACGTGGACGTGGACGTGGACGTGGACGTGGACATGGACGTGGACGTGGACGTGGACGTGGACGTGGACATGGACGTGGACGTGGATGTGGACATGGACGTGGACTTGGACGTGGTCGTAGACGTGGACGTGGACGTGGTTGTGGACGTGGACGTGAACCTGGTTGTGGACGTGGACGTGGACGTGGACGTGGACGTGGAGGACGTGGACGTGGACGTGGACGTGGACGTGGACGTGGACATGGACGTGGACGTGGACGTGGACGTGGACGTGGACGTGGACTTGGACGTGGACGTGGACGTGGACGTGGACGTGGACGTGGACATGGACGTGGACGTGGACTTGGACGTGGACTTGGACGTGGACGTGGACATGGACGTGGACGTGGACGTGGCAGAGACGTGGACGTGGACGAGGACATGGTTGTGGACGTGGACGTGGACGTGGACGTGGACGTGCATGTGGACGTGGACGTGGACGTGGACGTGGACGTGGACGTGGACGTGAACGTGGACGTGGACTTGGACGTGGACATGGACATGGACGTGGACGTGGATGTGGACGTGGACATGGATGCCACGTGGACATGGACGTGGACATGGACATGGACGTGGACATGGACGTGGACGTGGACGTGGACATGGACGTGGACGTGGACGTGGACGTGGACATGGACGTGGACGTGGACGTGGACGTGAAAGTGGATGTGGACCTCGACGTGGACGTGGACGTGGACGTGGACGTGGACGTGGACGTGGACATGGACGTGGACGTGGACGTGAACGTGGACGTGGACGTGGACGTGAACGTGGACGTGGACATGGACGTGGACATGGATGTGGACGTGGACGTGGACGTGGACGTGGACGTGGTCGTGGACGTGGACGTGGATGTGGACGTGGACGTGGTCGTGGACGTGGACGTGGACGTGGACGTGGACGTGGACATGGACGTGGACGTGGACGTGGACATAGACATGGACGTGGACGTGGACGTGGACATGGACGTGGACGTGGACATGGACATGGACGTGGACGTGGACGTGGACGTGGACGTGGACGTGGATGTGGACGTGGACGTGGACGTGGACATGGACGTGGACGTGGCAGGGACGTGGACGTGGACGTGGACGTGGACATGGACGTGGACGTGGACGTGGACGTGGACGTGGACGTGGACATGGATGTGGATATGGACGTGGACGTGGTCGTGGACGTAGACATGGACGTTGACGTGGACGTGGACGTGGACATGGACGTGGACGTAGACGTGGACGTGGACGTGGACATGGACGTGGACATGGACGTGGACGTGGACATGGACGTGGACATGGAGGTGGACGTGGAGGTGGACGTGGACATGGACGTGGACATGGAGGTGGACATGGAGGTGGACATGGAGGTGGACGTGGACGTGGACATGGACGTGGACGTGGACGTGGACGTGGACGTGGACGTGGTCGTGGACGTGGACGTGGACGTGGTCGTGGTCGTGGACGTGGACGTGGACGTGGACGTGGAGGACTTGGACGTGGACATGGACGAGGACGTGGACGTGGACGTGGACGTGGACATGGACGTGGACGTGGACATGGACGTGGACGTGGACATGGACGTGGACGTGGAAATGGACATGGACGTAGACGTGGACGTGGACGTGGACGTGGACATGGACGTGGACGTGGACGTGGACCTGGACGTAGACGTGGACGTGGACGTGAACGTGGACGTGAACGTGGACGTGGTCATGGACGTAGACATGGACGTGGACGTGAACGTGGACGTGGACGTGGACGTCGACGTGGACGTGGACATGGAGGTGGACGTGGACATGGACGTGGACATGGACATGGACGTGGACATGGACGTGGACGTGGACGTGGACGTGGACGTGGACGTAGACGTGGACGTGGACGTGGACGTGGACGTGGACGTGATTGTGGACGTGGACATGGACGTGGACGCGGACGTGGACGTGGACGTGGACATGAATGTGGACGTGGACATGGACGTGGACATAGACATGGACGTGGACGTGGACGTGGACGTGGACGTGGACGTGGACCTGGACGTGGACGTGGACGTGGACGTGGACGTGGATGTGGACGTGGACGTGGTCGTGGACGTGGTAGTGGACGTGGACGTGGACGTGGACGTGCTCGTGGACGTGGACGTGGACGTGGACGTGGAGGTGGACGTGGAAATGGACGTAGAAATGGACGTGGACATGGACATGGACGTGGACATGGACGTGGACGTGGACATGGACATGGACATGGACGTGGACGTGGACATGGACGTGGACGTGGACATGGACATGGACGTGGACGTGGACGTGGACATGGACGTGGACGTGGACATGGACTTGGACGTGGACGTAGACGTGGACATGGACGTGGACGTGGACGTGGACGTGGTCGTGGATGTGGACGTGGACGTGGTCGTGGACGTGGACGTGGACGTGGACGTGGTCGTGGTCGTGGACGTGGACGTGGACCTGGACCTGGACGTGGACGTGGACGTGGACGTGGAGGACTTGGACGTGGACATGGACGTGGACGTGGACGTGGACATGGACGTGGACGTGGACGTGGACGTGGACATGGACGTGGACGTGGACATGGACGTGGACGTGGACGTGGACGTGGACGTGGACCTCGACGTGGACGTGGACGTGGACATGGACGTGGACGTGGACGTGGACGTGGACGTGGTCGTGGACGTGGACATGGACATGGACATGGACGTGGTCGTGGACGTGGACGTGGACGTGGACGTGGACGTGGACGAAGACATGGACGTGGACATGGACGTGGACGTGGACATGGACGTGGACTTGGACGTGGACGTGGACGTGGACATGGACGTGGACGTGGACGTGGACGTGGACATGGACATGGACGTGGACGTGGACATGGACGTTAACGTGGACATGGACGTGGACATGGACGTGGACATGGACGTGGACATGGACGTGGACATGGACATGGACGTGGACGTGGACGTGGACATGGACGTGGACGTGGACGTGGACATGGACGTGGACGTGGACGTGGACGTGGACATGGACGTGGACATGGACGTGGACGTGGACGTGGACGTGGACGTGGACATGGACGTGGACGTGGACGTGGACGTGGTTGTGGACGTGGACGTGGACGTGGACGTGGACATGGACGTGGACGTGGACGTGGAGGTGGACGTGGACGTGGACATGGACTTGGATATGGACGTGGACGTGGAGGTGGACGTGGTCGTGGACGTGGACGTGGTCGTGGTCGTGGACGTGGACGTGGACGTGGACCTGGACGTGGACGTGGACGTGGACGTGGACGTGGAGGACTTGGACGTGGACATCGACGTGGACGTGGACGTGGACATGGACGTGGACGTGGACGTGGACATGGACGTGGACATGGACATGGACGTGGACATGGACGTGGACATGGACGTGGACGTGGACATGGACGTGGACGTGGACGTGGACGTGGACGTGGTCGTGGACATGGACGTGGACGTGGACGTGGACGTGGACGTGGTCGTGGACGTGGACGTGGACGTGGACATAGACGTGGACGTGGACATGGACGTCGACATGGACGTGGACATGGACGTGGACATGGACGTCGACGTGGACATGGACGTGGACGTGGACGTGGACGTGGACATGGACGTGGACGTGGACGTGGACATGGACGTGGACATGGACGTGGACGTGGACATGGACGTGGACATGGACGTGGACGTGGACGTGGACATGGACGTGGACGTGGACGTGGACATGGACGTGGACATGGACATGGATATGGACGTGGACGTGGACGTGGACGTGGACGTGGACGTGGACCTGGATATGGACGTGGACATGGACGTGGACGTGGATATGGACGTGGACGTGGAGGTGGACGTGGAGGTGGACGTGGAGGGAGGTGGACGTGGAGGTGGACGTGGAGGTGGACGTGGAGGTGGACGTGGACGTGGACGTGGACATGGACATGGTCGTGGACGTGGACGTGAACGTGGACGTGGACATGGACATGGACGTGGACGTGGACGTGGACCTGGACGTGGACATGGACGTGGACATGGACGTGGACTTGGACGTGGACGTGGACGTGGACATGGACGTGGACGTGGACGTGGTTGTGGACATGGACGTGGACATGGACATGGACGTCGACATAGACGTGGACGTAGACGTGGACGTGGACGTGGACGTGGACGTTGACGTGGACGTGGACGTGGACGTGGACGTGGACATTGACATGGACGTGGACGTGGACGTGGACGTGGACGTGGACATGGACGTGGACATGGACGTGGACGTGGACATGGACGTGGACCTGGACGTGGACGTGGACGTGGACATGGACGTGGACGTGGACGTGGACGTCGACGTGGACGTGGACGTGGACATGGAGGTGGACATGGACATGGACGTGGACATGGACATGGACGTGGACACGGACGTGGACGTGGACGTGGACGTGGACGTGGACGTGGACGTAGACGTGGACGTGGACGTGGACGTGGACGTGATTGTGGACGTGGACATGGACGAGGACGTGGACGTGTACGTGGACGTGGACATGAATGTGGACGTGGACATGGACGTGGACATGGACATGGACGTGGACGTGGACGTGGACGTGGACGTGGACGTGGACTTGGACGTGGACATGGACGTGGACGTGGACATGGACGTGGACGTGGACATGGTCGTGGACGTGGACGTGGACGTGGACGTGGACATGGACGTGGACGTGGACGTGGACGTGGACGTGGACGTGGACATGGACGTGGATATGGACGTGGACGTGGACATGGACATGGACATGGACGTGAAGGTGGACGTGGACATGGACGTGGACGTGGACGTGGACATGGACGTGGACGTGGACATGGACGTGGACATGGAGGTGGACGTGGAGGTGGACGTGGAGGTGGACGTGGACATGGACGTGGACGTGGACGTGGACATGGACGTGGACGTGGACGTGGACGTGGACGTGGACATGGACGTGGACGTGGACATGGACGAGGACGTGGACGTGGACATGGACGTGGACGTGGAGGACTTGGACGTGGACATTGACGTGGACGTGGACGTGGACGTGGACATGGTCGTGGACATGGACGTGGACGTGGACGTGGAGGTGGACATGGACGTGGACATGGACGTGGACATGGACATGGACGTGGACATGGACGTGGACGTGGACGTGGACGTGGACCTGGATATGGACGTGGACATGGACGTGGACGTGGATATGGACGTGGACATGGAGGTGGACGTGGAGGTGGACGTGGAGGGAGGTGGACGTGGAGGTGGACGTGGAGGTGGACGTGGAGGTGGACGTGGACGTGGACGTGGACATGGACATGGTCGTGGACGTGGACGTGAACGTGGACGTGGACATGGACATGGACGTGGACGTGGACGTGGACCTGGACGTGGACATGGACGTGGACATGGACGTGGACTTGGACGTGGACGTGGACGTGGACATGGACGTGGACGTGGACGTGGTTGTGGACATGGACGTGGACATGGACATGGACGTCGACATAGACGTGGACGTAGACGTGGACGTGGACGTGGACGTGGACGTGGACGTTGACGTGGACGTGGACGTGGACGTGGACGTGGACGTGGACATTAACATGGACGTGGACGTCGACGTGGACGTGGACGTGGACGTGGACGTGGACATGGACGTGGACATGGACGTGGACGTGGACATGGACGTGGACCTGGACGTGGACGTGGACGTGGACATGGACGTGGACGTGGACGTGGACGTCGACGTGGACGTGGACGTGGACATGGAGGTGGACGTGGACATGGACGTGGACATGGACATGGACGTGGACATGGACGTGGACGTGGACGTGGACGTGGACGTGGACGTGGACGTAGACGTGGACGTGGACGTGGACGTGGACGTGATTGTGGACGTGGACATGGACGTGGACGTGGACGTGGACGTGGACATGAATGTGGACGTGGACATGGACGTGGACATGGACATGGACGTGGACGTGGACGTGGACGTGGACGTGGACGTGGACTTGGACGTGGACATGGACGTGGACGTGGACATGGACGTGGACGTGGACATGGTCGTGGACGTGGACGTGGACGTGGACGTGGACATGGACGTGGACGTGGACGTGGACGTGGACGTGGACGTGGACATGGACGTGGATATGGACGTGGACATGGACATGGACATGGACATGGACGTGAAGGTGGACGTGGACATGGACGTGGACGTGGACGTGGACATGGACGTGGACGTGGACATGGACGTGGACATGGAGGTGGACGTGGAGGTGGACGTGGAGGTGGACGTGGACATGGACGTGGACGTGGACGTGGACGTGGACATGGACGTGGACGTGGACGTGGACGTGGACGAGGACGTGGACGTGGACGTGGACGTGGTCGTGGACGTGGACCTGGACGTGGACATGGACGTGGACGTGGACATGGACGTGGACGTGGACGTGGACGTGGACGTGGACATGGACGTGGACGTGGACGTGGACATGGACGTGGACGTGGACGTGGACATGGACGTGGACGTGGACATGGACGTGGACGTGGACGTGGAGGACTTGGACGTGGACATGGACGTGGACGTGGACGTGGACGTGGACATGGTCGTGGACATGGACGTGGACGTGGACGTGGACGTGGACGTGGACGTGGACATGGTCGTGGACGTGGACGTGGACGTGGACGTGGACGTGGACATGAATGTGGACGTGGACATGGACGTGGACATAGACGTGGACGTGGACGTGGACGTGGACGTGGACGTGGACCTGGACGTGGACGTGGACGTGGACGTGGATGTGGACGTGGACGTGGTCGTGGACGTGGTAGTGGACGTGGACGTGGACGTGGACGTGGAGGTGGACGTGGAAATGGACGTAGACATGGACGTGGACATGGACATGGACGTGGACATGGACGTGGACGTGGACATGGACATGGACATGGACGTGGACGTGGACATGGACGTGGACGTGGACATGGACATGGACGTGGACGTGGACGTGGACATGGACGTGGACGTGGACATGGACTTGGACGTGGACGTGGACGTGGACATGGACGTGGACGTGGACGTGGTCGTGGACGTGGACGTGGATGTGGACGTGGACGTGGACGTGGTCGTGGACGTGGACGTGGACGTGGTCGTGGTCGTGGACGTGGACGTGGACCTGGACCTGGACCTGGACGTGGACGTGGACGTGGACGTGGAGGACTTGGACGTGGACATGGACGTGGACGTGGACGTGGACATGGACGTGGACGTGGACGTGGACGTGGACATGGACGTGGACGTGGACCTGGACGTGGACGTGGACGTGGACGTGGACGTGGACGTGGACGTGGACCTGGACGTGGACGTGGACGTGGACATGGACGTGGACGTGGACGTGGACGTGGACGTGGTCGTGGACGTGGACATGGACATGGACATGGACGTGGTCGTGGACGTGGACGTGGACGTGGACGTGGACGAAGACATGGACGTGGACATGGACGTGGACGTGGACATGGACGTGGACTTGGACGTGGACGTGGACGTGGACATGGACGTGGACGTGGACGTGGACATGGACATGGACGTGGACGTGGACATGGACGTGGACGTGGACATGGACGTGGACATGGACGTGGACATGGACGTGGACATGGACGTGGACATGGACATGGACGTGGACGTGGACGTGGACGTGGACATGGACGTGGACGTGGACGTGGACATGGACGTGGACGTGGACGTGGACGTGGACATGGACGTGGACATGGACGTGGACGTGGACGTGGACGTGGACGTGGACATGGACGTGGACGTGGACGTGGACGTGGTTGTGGACGTGGACGTGGACGTGGACGTGGACATGGACGTGGACGTGGACGTGGAGGTGGACGTGGACGTGGACATGGACGTGGATATGGACGTGGACGTGGAGGTGGACGTGGTCGTGGACGTGGACGTGGTCGTGGTCGTGGACGTGGACGTGGACGTGGACCTGGACGTGGACGTGGACGTGGACGTGGAGGACTTGGACGTGGACATCGACGTGGACGTGGACGTGGACATGGACGTGGATGTGGACGTGGACATGGACGTGGACATGGACATGGACGTGGACATGGACGTGGACATGGACGTGGACGTGGACATGGACGTGGACGTGGACGTGGACGTGGACGTGGTCGTGGACATGGACGTGGACGTGGACGTGGACGTGGACGTGGTCGTGGACGTGGACGTGGACGTGGACATAGACGTGGACGTGGACATGGACGTGGACATGGACGTGGACGTGGACATGGACGTGGACGTGGACGTGGACGTGGACATGGACGTGGACGTGGACGTGGACATGGACGTGGACATGGACGTGGACGTGGACATAGACGTGGACATGGACGTGGACGTGGACGTGGACATGGACGTGGACGTGGACGTGGACATGGACGTGGACATGGACGTGGACGTGGACGTGGACGTGGACATGGACGTGGACATGGACGTGGACGTGGACGTGGACATGGACGTGGACGTGGACGTGGACGTGGACGTGGACATGGACGTGGACGTGGACATGGACGTGGACGTGGACGTGGACATGGACGTGGACGTGGACGTGGAGGACTTGGACGTGGACATGGACGTGGACGTGGTCGTGGACGTGGATGTGGACGTGGTCGTGGACATGGACGTGGACGTGGACGTGGAGGTGGACATGGACGTGGACATGGACGTGGACATGGACATGGACGTGGACATGGACGTAGACGTGGACGTGGACGTGGACGTGGACCTGGATATGGACGTGGACATGGACGTGGACGTGGATATGGACGTGGACGTGGAGGTGGACGTGGAGGTGGACGTAGAGAGAGGTGGACGTGGAGGTGGACGTGGAGGTGGACGTGGAGGTGGACGTGGACGTGGACGTGGACATGGACATGGTCGTGGACGTGGACGTGAACGTGGACGTGGACATGGACATGGACGTGGACGTGGACGTGGACCTGGACGTGGACATGGACGTGGACATGGACGTGGACTTGGACGTGGACGTGGACGTGGACATGGACGTGGACGTGGACGTGGTTGTGGACATGGACGTGGACATGGACATGGACGTCGACATAGACGTGGACGTAGACGTGGACATGGACGTGGACGTGGACGTGGACGTTGACGTGGACGTGGACGAGGACGTGGACGTGGACGTGGACATGGACGTGGACGTGGACGTGGACGTGGACGTGGACGTGGACATGGACGTGGACATGGACGTGGACGTGGACATGGACGTGGACCTGGACGTGGACGTGGACGTGGACATGGACGTGGACGTGGACGTGGACGTCGACGTGGACGTGGACGTGGACATGGAGGTGGACGTGGACATGGACGTGGACATGGACATGGACGTGGACATGGACGTGGACGTGGACGTGGACGTGGACGTGGACGTGGACGTGGACGTAGACGTGGACGTGGACGTGGACGTGGACGTGATTGTGGACGTGGACATGGACGTGGACGTGGACGTGGACGTGGACGTGGACGTGGACATGAATGTGGACGTGGACATGGACGTGGACATGGACATGGACGTGGACGTGGACGTGGACGTGGACGTGGACTTGGACGTAAACATGGACGTGGACGTGGACGTGGACGTGGACGTGGACATGGTCGTGGACGTGGACGTGGATGTGGACGTGGACATGGACGTGGACGTGGACGTGGACGTGGACGTGGACATGGACGTGGATATGGACGTGGACGTGGACATGGACATGGACATGGACGTGGAGGTGGACATGGACATGGACGTGGACGTGGACGTGGACATGGACGTGGACGTGGACATGGACGTGGACAGGGAGGTGGACGTGGAGGTGGACGTGGAGGTGGACGTGGACATGGACGTGGACGTGGACGTGGACGTGGACATGGACGTGGACGTGGACGTGGACGTGGACGAGGACGTGGACGTGGACGTGGACGTGGTCGTGGACGTGGACCTGGACGTGGACATGGACGTGGACGTGGACATGGACGTGGACGTGGACGTGGACGTGGACGTGGACATGGACGTGGACGTGGACGTGGACATGGACGTGGACGTGGACGTGGACATGGACGTGGACGTGGACATGGACGTGGACGTGGAGGACATGGACGTGGACATGGACGTGGACGTGGACGTGGACGTGGACATGGTCGTGGACATGGACGTGGACGTGGACGTGGACGTGGACGTGGACATGGTCGTGGACGTCGACGTGGACGTGGACGTGGACATGGACGTGGACGTGGACGTGGACGTGGACGTGGACGTGGACGTGGACGTGGACGTGGACATGGACGTAGATATGGACGTAAGGACATGTACTTGGACATGGACGTGGAGGTGGACGTGGACATGGACGTGGACGTGGACGTGGACATGGACGTGGACGTGGACATGGACGTGGACATGGAGGTGGACATGGACGTGGACGTGGACGTGGACGTGGAGATGGACGTGGACGTGGACGTGGACGTGGACATGGACGTGGACGTGGACGTGGACGTGGACGAGGACGTGGACGTGGACGTGGACATGGACATGGACGTGGACGTGGACGTGGACATGGACGTGGACATGGACGTGGACGTGGACGTGGACGTGGACGTGGACATGGACGTGGACGTGGACATGGACAAGGACGTGGACGTGGACATGGACGTGGACGTGGAGGACTTGGACGTGGACATGGACGTGGACGTGGACGTGGACGTGGACGTGGACATGGTCGTGGACATGGAATGGATGTGGACGTGGAGGTGGACATGGACGTGGACATGGACGTGGACATGGACATGGACGTGGACATGGACGTGGACGTGGACGTGGACGTGGACGTGGACCTGGATATGGACGTGGACGTGGACGTGGACGTGGATATGGACGTGGACGTGGAGGTGGACGTGGAGGTGGACGTGGAGGGAGGTGGACGTGGAGGTGGACGTGGAGGTGGACGTGGAGGTGGACGTGGACGTGGACGTGGACATGGACATGGTCGTGGACGTGGACGTGAACGTGGACGTGGACATGGACATGGACGTGGACGTGGACGTGGACCTGGACGTGGACATGGACGTGGACATGGACGTGGACTTGGACGTGGACGTGGACGTGGACATCGACGTGGACGTGGACGTGGTTGTGGACATGGACGTGGACAGGGACATGGACGTCGACATAGACGTGGACGTAGACGTGGACGTGGACGTGGACGTGGACGTGGACGTTGACGTGGACGTGGACGTGGACGTGGACGTGGACGTGGACATGGACGTGGACGTGGACGTGGACGTGGACGTGGACGTGGACATGGACGTGGACATGGACGTGGACGTGGACATGGACGTGGACCTGGACGTGGACGTGGACGTGGACGTGGACATGGACGTGGACGTGGACGTGGACATGGACGTGGACGTGGACATGGACGTGGACGTGGACATGGACGTGGACATGGACGTGGACATGGACATGGACGTGGACGTGGACGTGGACATGGACGTGGACGTGGACGTGGACATGGACGTGGACGTGGACGTGGACGTGGACATGGACGTGTACGTGGACGTGGACGTGGACATGGACGTGGACATGGACATGGACGTGGACATGGACGTGGACGTGGACATGGACATGGACATGGACGTGGACATCGACGTGGACGTGGACGTGGACGAGGACGTGGACATGGATGTGGACGTGGACGTGGACGTTGACGTGGACATGGACGTGGACGTGGACGTGGACGTGGACGTGGACGTGGACGTGGACGTGGACGTGGACATGGACGTGGACGTGGACGTGGACGTGGACATGGACGTGGACGTGGCAGGGACGTGGACGTGGACATGGACGTGGACATGGACGTGGACGTGGACGTGGACGTGGACATGGACATGGACGTGGATATGGACGTGGACGTGGACATGGACGTAGACATGGACGTGGACGTGGACGTGGACGTGGACATGGACGTGGACGTGGACATGGACGTGGACGTGGACGTGGACGTGGTCGTGGACGTGGACGTGGACATGGTCGTGGACGTGGACGTAGACGTGGACGTGGTCGTGGACGTGGACGTGGACGTGGACGTGGACGTGGAGGACTTGGACGTGGACATGGACGTGGACATGGACATGGACGTGGACGTGGACGTGGACGTGGACGTGAACGTGGACATGGACGTGGACGTGGACGTGGACGTGGACGTGGACGTGGACATGGACGGTGACGTGGACGTGGACGTGGACGTGGACATGGACGTGGACGTGGACGTGGACGTGGACGTGGACGTGGACGTGGACATGGACGTGGACGTGGACGTGGACGTGGACATGGACGTGGACATGGACGTGGACGTGGACATGGACGTGGACATGGACGTGGACGTGGACGTGGACGTGGACATGGACGTGGACGTGGACGTGGACATGGACGTGGACGTGGACGTGGATGTGGACATGGACGTGGACATGGACGTGGACGTGGACATGGACGTGGACATGGACGTGGACATGGACGTGGACGTAGACGTGGACATGGACGTGGACGTGGACATGGATATGGACGTGGACGTGGACGTGGACGTGGTCGTGGACGTGGACGTGGACGTGGACGTGGACATGGACGTGGACGTGGACATGGACGTGGATATGGACGTGGACATGGACGTGGACATGGACGTGGAGGTGGACGTAGACGTGGACGTGGACGTGGACATGGACGTGGACGTGGCAGGGACGTGGACGTGGACATGGACGTGGACATGGACGTGGACGTGGACGTGGACGTGGACATGGACATGGACGTGGATATGGACGTGGACGTGGACATGGACGTGGACATGGACGTGTACGTGGACGTGGACGTGGACATGGACGTGGACGTGGACGTGGACGTGGACGTGGTCGTGGAGGTGGACGTGGACGTGGACATGGTCGTGGACGTGGACGTAGACGTGGACGTGGTCGTGGAGGTGGACGTAGACGTGGACGTGGACGTGGAGGACTTGGACGTGGACATGGACGTGGACATGGACATGGACGTGGATGTGGACGTGGACGTGGACGTGGACATGGACATGGACGTGGACGTGGACGTCGACGTGGACGTGGACATGGACGTGGACATGGACGGTGACGTGGACGTGGACGTGGACGTGGACGTGGACATGGACGTGGACGTGGACGTGGACCTGGACGTGGACTGGACATGGACGTGGACGTGGACGTGGACGTGGACATGGACGTGGACGTGGACGTGGACGTGGACGTGGACATGGACGTGGACATGGACGTGGACGTGGACATGGACGTGGACGTGGACGTGGACGTGGACGTGGACGTGGACATGGACGTGGACGTGGACGTGGACATGGACGTGGACGTGGACGTGGACATGGACGTGGACATGGACGTGGACGTGGACATGGACGTGGACATGGACGTGGATATGGACGTGGACGTGGACGTGGACATGGACGTGGACGTGGACGTGGACATGGACGTGGACGTGGACGTGGTCGTGGACGTGGACGTGGACGTGGACATGGACATGGACGTGGACGTGGACGTGGACATGGACGTAGACGTGGACGAGGACATGGACGTGGACGTGGACGTGGACATGGACGTGTACGTGGACGTGGACGTGGACATGGACGTGGACATGGACATGGACGTGGACATGGACGTGGACGTGGACATGGACATGGACATGGACGTGGACATCGACGTGGATGTGGACGTGGACGAGGACGTGGACATGGATGTGGACGTGGACGTGGACGTGGACGTGGACATGGACGTGGACGTGGACGTGGACGTGGACGTGGACATGGACGTGGACGTGGACGTGGACGTGGACATGGACGTGGACGTGGACGTGGACGTGGACATGGACGTGGACGTGGCAGGGACGTGGACGTGGACATGGACGTGGACATGGACGTGGACGTGGACGTGGACGTCGACATGGACATGGACGTGGATATGGACGTGGACGTGGACATGGACGTGGACATGGACGTGGACGTGGACGTGGACATGGACGTGGACGTGGACGTGGACAAGGACGTGGACGTGGACGTGGACGTGGTCGTGGACGTGGACGTGGACATGGTCGTGGACGTGGACGTAGACGTGGACGTGGACGTGGACGTGGACGTGGAGGACTTGGACGTGGACATGGACGTGGACATGGACATGGACATGGACTTGGACGTGGACGTGGACGTGGACGTGGACATGGACGTGGACGTGGACGTGGACGTGGACGTGGACATGGACGGTGACGTGGACGTGGACGTGGACGTGGACATGGACGTGGACGTGGACGTGGACGTGGACCTGGACGTGGACGTGGACGTGGACGTGGACGTGGACGTGGACACGGACGTGGACGTGGACGTGGACGTGGACATGGACGTGGACGTGGACGTGGACGTGGACATGGACGTGGACATGGACGTGGACGTGGACATGGACGTGGACATGGACGTGGACGTGGACGTGGACGTGGACATGGACGTGGACGTGGACGTGGACATGGACGTGGACGTGGACGTGGACGTGGACGATGACATGGACGTGGACATGGACGTAGACGTGGACATGGACGTGGACATGGACGTGGACATGGACGTGGACGTGGACGTGGACATGGACGTGGACGTGGACGTGGACATGGACGTGGACGTGGACGTGGACGTGGTCGTGGACGTGGACGTGGACGTGGACATGGACGTGGACGTGGACATGGACGTGGATATGGACGTGGACGTGGACATGGACGTGGACATGGACGTGGAGGTGGACGTGGACGTGGACGTGGACGTGGACGTGGACATGGACGTGGACGTGGACATGGACGTGGACGTGGACGTGGACGTGGACGTGGACGTGGACGTGGACATGGACGTGGACGTGGCAGGGACGTGGACGTGGACATGGACGTGGACATGGACGTGGACGTGGACGTGGACGTGGACATGGACATGGACGTGGATATGGACGTGGACGTGGACATGGACGTGGACATGGACGTGGACGTGGACGTGGACGTGGACATGGACGTGGACGTGGACGTGGACGTGGACGTGGACGTGGACGTGGACGTGGACGTGGACGTGGACATGGACGTGGACGTGGACGTGGACGTGGACGTGGACGTGGACGTGGACGTGGACGTGGACGTGGAGGACTGGACGTGGACATGACATGGACGTGGACATGGACGTGGACGTGGACGTTGACGTGGACGTGGACATGGACTTGGACATGGACCCTGGACGTGGACGTGGACGTGGACGTGGACGTGGACATGGACGTGGACATGGGACGTGGACGTGGAACTGGACATGGACGTGGACGTGGACATGGACGTGACGTGGACATGGACGTGGACCTGGACGTGGACGTGGACGTGGACCTGTGGACATGGACATGACGTGGCGTGGACGTGGACGTGGACCTGGACGTGGACATGGACGTGGACATGGACGTGGACGTGGACACGTGGACATGGACGTGGACATGGACGTGGACGTGGACATGGACGTGGACATGGACGTGGACGTGGACGTGGACGTGGACATGGACGTGGACGTGGACGTGGACATGGACGTGGACGTGGACGTGGACATGGACGTGGACATGGACGTGGACGGACGTGGACGTGGACATGACGTGGACATGGACGTGGACATGGACGTGGACATGGACGTGGACGTGGACGTGGACATGGACGTGGACGTGGACGTGGACGTGGACGTGGACGTGGACGTGGACGTAGACGTGGACGTGGACATGGACATGGACGTGGACATGGACGTGGACATGGACGTGGACGTGGACATGGACGTGGACATGGACGTGGAGGTGGACGTGGACATGGACGTGGACATGGACGTGGACGTGGACGTGGACGTGGACATGGACGTGGACATGGACATGGACGTGGACATGGACGTGGACGTGGACGTGGACATGGACGTGGACATGGACGTGGACGTGGACATGGACATGGACGTGGACGTGGACATGGACGTGGACGTGGACATAGACGTGGACGTGGACATAGACGTGGACATGGACATGGACATGGACGTGGACGTGGACGTGGACGTGGACATGGACATGGACGTGGACGTGGACGTGGACGTGGACGTGGACATGGACGTGGACTTGGACGTAGACGTAGACGTGGACATGGACGTGGACATGGACGTGGACGTGGACGTGGACGTGGACGTGGACGTGGACGTGGACATGGACGTGGACGTGGACGTGGACGTGGACGTTGACGTGGACGTTGACGTGGACGTGGACGTGGACGTGGACGTGGACATGGACGTGGACGTGGACGTGGACGTGGACGTGTACGTGGACAATGGACATGGACGTGGACGTGGACGTGGACGTGGACGTGGACATGGACGTGGACTTGGACGTGGACGTAGACGTGGACATGGACGTGGACATGGACGTGGACATGGACGTGGACGGGACGTGGACGTGGACGTGGACGTGGACATGGACGTGGACGTGGACATGGACATGGACGTGGACGTGGACGTGGACATGGACGTGAACGTGGACGTGGACATGGACGTGGACGTGGACGTGGACATGGACATGGACATGGACGTGGACGTGGACGTGGACGTGGACTTGGACGTGGACGTGGACGTGTTCGTGGACATGGACGTGGACGTGGACGTGGACGTGGACGTGGACATCGATTGTGGCAAACACGATCGTGATGGGCGGTCCATGATTCGAGTAACAATGCTTCACATTTTATACCGGTACGGATTTCGCAGCTTCCCGGGCTCACAAACGCCCTTATATGGGGACGGTTCTTCATGCGCCGGGCCCGATTGAAGGCAAAAAGAGCTGGAATCTCGTCCCAAGGCTATCTAGGATTGTGGCAAACACGATCGTGCTGGGCGGTCCATGATCCGAGTAACATTGCTTCACATTTTATACCGGTACGGATTTCGCAGCTTCCCGGGCTCACAAACGCCCTTATATGGGGACGGTTCTTCATGCGGCGGGCCCGTTTGAAGGCAAAAAGAGCTGGAATCTCGTCCCAAGGTATCTAGGATTGTGGCAAACACGATCGTGCTGGGCGGTCCATGATCCGAGTAACATTGCTTCACATTTTATACCGGTACGGATTTCGCAGCTTCCCGGGCTCACAAACGCCCTTATATGGGGACGGTTCTTCATGCGGCGGGCCCGTTTGAAGGCAAAAAGAGCTGGAATCTCGTCCCAAGGTATCTAGGATTGTGGCAAACACGATCGTGCTGGGCGGTCCATGATCCGAGTAACATTGCTTCACATTTTATACCGGTACGGATTTCACAGCTTCCCGGGCTCACAAACGCCCTTATATGGGGACGGTTCTTCATGCGGCGGGCCCGTTTGAAGGCAAAAAGAGCTGGAATCTCGTCCCAAGGTATCTAGGATTGTGGCAAACACGATCGTGCTGGGCGGTCCATGATCCGAGTAACATTGCTTCACATTTTATACCGGTACGGATTTCACAGCTTCCCGGGCTCACAAACGCCCTTATATGGGGACGGTTCTTCATGCGGCGGGCCCGTTTGAAGGCAAAAAGAGCTGGAATCTCGTCCCAAGGTATCTAGGATTGTGGCAAACACGATCGTGCTGGGCGGTCCATGATCCGAGTAACATTGCTTCACATTTTATACCGGTACGGATTTCGCATCTTCCCGGGCTCACAAACGCCCTTATATGGGGACGGTTCTTCATGCGGCGGGCCCGTTTGAAGGCAAAAAGAGCTGGAATCTCGTCCCAAGGTATCTAGGATTGTGGCAAACACGATCGTGCTGGGCGGTCCATGATCCGAGTAACATTGCTTCACATTTTATACCGGTACGGATTTCACAGCTTCCCGGGCTCACAAACGCCCTTATATGGGGACGGTTCTTCATGCGGCGGGCCCGTTTGAAGGCAAAAAGAGCTGGAATCTCGTCCCAAGGTATCTAGGATTGTGGCAAACACGATCGTGCTGGGCGGTCCATGATCCGAGTAACATTGCTTCACATTTTATACCGGTACGGATTTCGCAGCTTCCCGGGCTCACAAACGCCCTTATATGGGGACGGTTCTTCATGCGGCGGGCCCGTTTGAAGGCAAAAAGAGCTGGAATCTCGTCCCAAGGTATCTAGGATTGTGGCAAACACGATCGTGCTGGGCGGTCCATGATCCGAGTAACATTGCTTCACATTTTATACCGGTACGGATTTCGCAGCTTCCCGGGCTCACAAACGCCCTTATATGGGGACGGTTCTTCATGCGGCGGGCCCGTTTGAAGGCAAAAAGAGCTGGAATCTCGTCCCAAGGTATCTAGGATTGTGGCAAACACGATCGTGCTGGGCGGTCCATGATCCGAGTAACATTGCTTCACATTTTATACCGGTACGGATTTCGCAGCTTCCCGGGCTCACAAACGCCCTTATATGGGGACGGTTCTTCATGCGGCGGGCCCGTTTGAAGGCAAAAAGAGCTGGAATCTCGTCCCAAGGTATCTAGGATTGTGGCAAACACGATCGTGCTGGGCGGTCCATGATCCGAGTAACATTGCTTCACATTTTATACCGGTACGGATTTCACAGCTTCCCGGGCTCACAAACGCCCTTATATGGGGACGGTTCTTCATGCGGCGGGCCCGTTTGAAGGCAAAAAGAGCTGGAATCTCGTCCCAAGGTATCTAGGATTGTGGCAAACACGATCGTGCTGGGCGGTCCATGATCCGAGTAACATTGCTTCACATTTTATACCGGTACGGATTTCACAGCTTCCCGGGCTCACAAACGCCCTTATATGGGGACGGTTCTTCATGCGGCGGGCCCGTTTGAAGGCAAAAAGAGCTGGAATCTCGTCCCAAGGTATCTAGGATTGTGGCAAACACGATCGTGCTGGGCGGTCCATGATCCGAGTAACATTGCTTCACATTTTATACCGGTACGGATTTCGCAGCTTCCCGGGCTCACAAACGCCCTTATATGGGGACGGTTCTTCATGCGGCGGGCCCGTTTGAAGGCAAAAAGAGCTGGAATCTCGTCCCAAGGTATCTAGGATTGTGGCAAACACGATCGTGCTGGGCGGTCCATGATCCGAGTAACATTGCTTCACATTTTATACCGGTACGGATTTCACAGCTTCCCGGGCTCACAAACGCCCTTATATGGGGACGGTTCTTCATGCGGCGGGCCCGTTTGAAGGCAAAAAGAGCTGGAATCTCGTCCCAAGGTATCTAGGATTGTGGCAAACACGATCGTGCTGGGCGGTCCATGATCCGAGTAACATTGCTTCACATTTTATACCGGTACGGATTTCACAGCTTCCCGGGCTCACAAACGCCCTTATATGGGGACGGTTCTTCATGCGGCGGGCCCGTTTGAAGGCAAAAAGAGCTGGAATCTCGTCCCAAGGTATCTAGGATTGTGGCAAACACGATCGTGCTGGGCGGTCCATGATCCGAGTAACATTGCTTCACATTTTATACCGGTACGGATTTCACAGCTTCCCGGGCTCACAAACGCCCTTATATGGGGACGGTTCTTCATGCGGCGGGCCCGTTTGAAGGCAAAAAGAGCTGGAATCTCGTCCCAAGGTATCTAGGATTGTGGCAAACACGATCGTGCTGGGCGGTCCATGATCCGAGTAACATTGCTTCACATTTTATACCGGTACGGATTTCGCATCTTCCCGGGCTCACAAACGCCCTTATATGGGGACGGTTCTTCATGCGGCGGGCCCGTTTGAAGGCAAAAAGAGCTGGAATCTCGTCCCAAGGTATCTAGGATTGTGGCAAACACGATCGTGCTGGGCGGTCCATGATCCGAGTAACATTGCTTCACATTTTATACCGGTACGGATTTCACAGCTTCCCGGGCTCACAAACGCCCTTATATGGGGACGGTTCTTCATGCGGCGGGCCCGTTTGAAGGCAAAAAGAGCTGGAATCTCGTCCCAAGGTATCTAGGATTGTGGCAAACACGATCGTGCTGGGCGGTCCATGATCCGAGTAACATTGCTTCACATTTTATACCGGTACGGATTTCGCAGCTTCCCGGGCTCACAAACGCCCTTATATGGGGACGGTTCTTCATGCGGCGGGCCCGTTTGAAGGCAAAAAGAGCTGGAATCTCGTCCCAAGGTATCTAGGATTGTGGCAAACACGATCGTGCTGGGCGGTCCATGATCCGAGTAACATTGCTTCACATTTTATACCGGTACGGATTTCACAGCTTCCCGGGCTCACAAACGCCCTTATATGGGGACGGTTCTTCATGCGGCGGGCCCGTTTGAAGGCAAAAAGAGCTGGAATCTCGTCCCAAGGTATCTAGGATTGTGGCAAACACGATCGTGCTGGGCGGTCCATGATCCGAGTAACATTGCTTCACATTTTATACCGGTACGGATTTCACAGCTTCCCGGGCTCACAAACGCCCTTATATGGGGACGGTTCTTCATGCGGCGGGCCCGTTTGAAGGCAAAAAGAGCTGGAATCTCGTCCCAAGGTATCTAGGATTGTGGCAAACACGATCGTGCTGGGCGGTCCATGATCCGAGTAACATTGCTTCACATTTTATACCGGTACGGATTTCGCATCTTCCCGGGCTCACAAACGCCCTTATATGGGGACGGTTCTTCATGCGGCGGGCCCGTTTGAAGGCAAAAAGAGCTGGAATCTCGTCCCAAGGTATCTAGGATTGTGGCAAACACGATCGTGCTGGGCGGTCCATGATCCGAGTAACATTGCTTCACATTTTATACCGGTACGGATTTCGCAGCTTCCCGGGCTCACAAACGCCCTTATATGGGGACGGTTCTTCATGCGGCGGGCCCGTTTGAAGGCAAAAAGAGCTGGAATCTCGTCCCAAGGTATCTAGGATTGTGGCAAACACGATCGTGCTGGGCGGTCCATGATCCGAGTAACATTGCTTCACATTTTATACCGGTACGGATTTCACAGCTTCCCGGGCTCACAAACGCCCTTATATGGGGACGGTTCTTCATGCGGCGGGCCCGTTTGAAGGCAAAAAGAGCTGGAATCTCGTCCCAAGGTATCTAGGATTGTGGCAAACACGATCGTGCTGGGCGGTCCATGATCCGAGTAACATTGCTTCACATTTTATACCGGTACGGATTTCGCATCTTCCCGGGCTCACAAACGCCCTTATATGGGGACGGTTCTTCATGCGGCGGGCCCGTTTGAAGGCAAAAAGAGCTGGAATCTCGTCCCAAGGTATCTAGGATTGTGGCAAACACGATCGTGCTGGGCGGTCCATGATCCGAGTAACATTGCTTCACATTTTATACCGGTACGGATTTCACAGCTTCCCGGGCTCACAAACGCCCTTATATGGGGACGGTTCTTCATGCGGCGGGCCCGTTTGAAGGCAAAAAGAGCTGGAATCTCGTCCCAAGGTATCTAGGATTGTGGCAAACACGATCGTGCTGGGCGGTCCATGATCCGAGTAACATTGCTTCACATTTTATACCGGTACGGATTTCACAGCTTCCCGGGCTCACAAACGCCCTTATATGGGGACGGTTCTTCATGCGGCGGGCCCGTTTGAAGGCAAAAAGAGCTGGAATCTCGTCCCAAGGTATCTAGGATTGTGGCAAACACGATCGTGCTGGGCGGTCCATGATCCGAGTAACATTGCTTCACATTTTATACCGGTACGGATTTCGCAGCTTCCCGGGCTCACAAACGCCCTTATATGGGGACGGTTCTTCATGCGGCGGGCCCGTTTGAAGGCAAAAAGAGCTGGAATCTCGTCCCAAGGTATCTAGGATTGTGGCAAACACGATCGTGCTGGGCGGTCCATGATCCGAGTAACATTGCTTCACATTTTATACCGGTACGGATTTCGCAGCTT